TTAAAAAGTGTTGACCAAGATCTAAAAATAATTTTAAAATCCCCAAACGGGCCAGAAAATGCGTTTCTTCGATTTTATTATTTTGACAAGCGCATGATTTCACCACGTAGCAACACAATTTACTACAGCATGCGTCATGTCCTCTTATGTAAAGTAGTTTACGACAGTAAAATGTAGTGTTGTGTTTGTTTGTTTTTGTTTTGTTTTTTTTGTTTGTTTGTTTGTTTTTTGGGTTCTTTGTTCATTTTTTTAAACTGCGTTTAGCAATATCGTAAGTCTTTTATGAGTTTTTTTTTACCCAACAGCAAATAACAATTTATCGCAAAATTTGAGATTCTGTCTCTGTTAGTTGTGAGTTAAAAGAAAGTCACTGTCAGCGACGCATCCGTCTCGTCAAGATCTGAAGAAGTCAGTTTGACGTAGACGGGGAATGTCCCCGTACCCTCATAGGTCACTTCCTGGGCACCGGACACCAGCTCGTACTCCTTTTTACGAGAGAACCTGGACGAGACAGTGACGTAAGCGTCTGTGCCTCCGGAGACGGTTGCCACAAAACCGGTGCTGGACAAACCACTGTCTGGGATGATCTTGAAGATGGGCTGAGTACTGCTTGACAGTCTCAGATTCTCTCTCGTCTCGCTCTCAGAGATTGGGAGGACGAAGCTGAAAGTTGAACAAGTTTAGATAATATGAACGTATGCAGTTGCGAGCACTGTAAAACTCTTACTAAAACAAACACAACGTTTAGATAAAGAAAATATAAATAAGTAAAAGTAAATTTCGCCACCGCCACCCGCCCCCATTTCATTCTTAGATTAATTAAATATGTATTTTGCACCTGAGATAAAGGCGAACCCAAAGTTTCTCACCTGAAATAAGATCAGGGAACCCGCATATTAAGCCTATGTCTCCCTATGCGCGGCGCGACGTTTGGTCGCGCGCGACAGTCGCCAGTGATGAGTCGCGAGGTGCGTAGTATCCTTATGTGCGACCACATGAGCCCAAAGTTTCAATCGCGTACGACAAAAGCGTCAAAACTGTCTCCTTTTGCGCGACACGACGTTTTCCGCGCGCGACTGGTTAATCCCTCGCGTGACTGACAATTCAAATTTGGCACTTAATACCAAGATGGTCAAGGAAGTACAATGTCCGTCAGATGGGAGTT